GTCTCGCCAAGTTGCCCAGGCTGGTCTTGAACCCGCAGGCTCAGGCAATCCACTCACCTCGCCTCCCAAGGCGCGGGATTACAGGCTGAGCCACCGAGCCCGGCTAGTACCTGCTCTTATCTGCCCCTTTGTGATGAAGTGTAGCAGCCCACCACCAAACCATCTTAACAACTTGCCCCCATCAAAGGGGAATGTTTAAAAGCATTCTACCTCTACTAGCCAGCTGCCATTGCTTTGCTAAACTCTGGTTTTCCTACATGGATCTCTGAGCTATGGCTACCATGTTTCCTGGCTTTGGTCCCTTCCTCCACCTTGGGGAGAATTTCCTCTCTCCCCCTCTCTCTCTTCTCCTCTCTCCTCTCTCTCTCTTATTTATTTTCTCAATAAACTATATTTTCCAATCTAACTTCTGTGTAATTCTTTGCATCTTTCTTAGGGCACCAGACTGCAAACCAGAAACACTCCCATTGAGCGAGTTAACATTTTATTTACTTGTTTGTTTGTTTACTTATTTTGGAGTCTCGCTCTGTTGCCAGGCTGGAATGCAGTGGCACGCTCACAGTCAGCACAGCCTCAACCTGCTGGGCTGAGGCGATCCTTCTGCCTCGGCCTTCCAAGTAGCTGGAACTACAGGCACATGCCACCAAGTCCGGCTAATTTTTTGGTTTATTGTAGAGATGAGGTCACGTCAAGTTGCCCAGGATGGTCTCGAACCTGTGGGATCAGGCAATTCTCTCACCTGGACCTCCCAATGTGCTAGGATTATATGCATGAGTCACCGTGCCCGGCCTGACTTAACATTTTAGAGACCCTACTGTGAGATATATTTTAATCTCACAGTATGTCTTAAAGTGTTTTGGTTAATTTTGTCAGAATTTTGTTCACCTTTTACCCTATTTTTTTCTCAATTTAATTTTTAATTCATCTAAAGTTAATTATTATTGTTCTGGACAGCTTATACAACAGAATCATATCCAACAATAAAGAGTTTAAGTGAAACATTAAGTATCCAATAGTTTATGAACTGTTTAAGTAAATTATGCAAAGCTACCAAAAGCATAATCTCATTTTTTGGAGAAAATGATATATATATTTTTTTGAGTCAGAGTCTTACTCTGTTGCCCAGGCTGGAGTACAGTAGCACGCTCATGGCCACTGCAGCCTCGACCCGCTGGACTCAGGCTATCCGCCTCAGCCTTCCAAGTAGCTGGAACTACAGGCACGCGCCACCCATAACCAGCTAATTTTTTTGATTTATTGTAGGGATGAGGTCTTGCCAAGTTGCCCAGGCTAGTCTTGAAGCCACAGGCTCAGACAATCTTCTCACCTGGGCCTCCCAAAGTACTGGGATTATAGGTGTGAGCCACTGCGCCCAGTCAAAATGATATATTTTTATATGTATAGAAAATAATGTAAAAGAATATATACCAAATATATATACCAACAATAGTTATGAGATATTATTATGAACTTTTTATGTTCTTTTGCTCATGTATATATTCTAAGTTTTTTTTTTCACAGTTTTTTATGGAATAAAAATCAATAAAGAAAACAAGAGCAACTATAAAATCATCCTATGATTGAATATTGAGGTTGTATAACAAACAATGTAATCAATTATAATTGGCTGAAAAATGGCCTCCTCTTTCTTTTTAAAAAAATCATACAGCCGGGCTCAGTGGCTCAGCCTGTAATCCCACGCCTTTGGGAGGCTGAGGTGAGTGGACTGCCTGAGCCCGTGGGTTCGAGACCCGTCTGGGCAGCGAGACCTCATCTCTACCATAAATCAAAAAATCAGCCGGGCATGGTAGCACTTGCCTGTAATTCCGGTTACTTGGAAGACTAAGGCGGAAGGATCGCTGGAGCCCAACAGTTCGAGGCTGCGGTGGCCGGAAGCAGCCACTGCACTCCAGTCTGGGCGACAGAGTGAGACTCCAACTCAAAAAAAAAAAAATCATACTATCCAGGTGTGGTGGTTTATGCTTGTAATTCCAGCTAGATGGGAGACTGAAGCAAGAGGATTGCTTGAGTGCAAGAGGATTGCTTGAGTCCAGGAGTTCACGACCAGTCTGGGCATCATAGCAAGACCCATCTTAAAACAAATAGTAAAACAACAAGAACGGAAAACGAACTCCATCTGAAATAAAACTAGGTGATGTATATAATCCCTAAACACAAGGTATAAAGACAGAACATTAATGAAAGAATGGTGAAGGTGAAACTTAACTTCCTGTAGTGGGAGATGCTGACCAGAAACCAGCCAATTTACCCTGCTGAGTGCCAGAAAGGCTCAGAAATTGAGGCACTAAGTATTTCATAAGTCAGGGTTGAGGGACTAGAAACGAAATACAGAAAGTCTGTATAACAAATAGAGCCTCTAGTCCCCTCCCTCAGTCTGCAGAAGATGGGAATTATGTTTTTAGAAATTAAATCAGAGAAGTTTTGGACTTGGACTAGTTACAAAGGCTGCCAAGTGTGGGGCATGGACCTGAAACATGAAGATTAAGAGATGCTATTGGAAAGTGAGACCCTGACCTTGTTCTCAGGTGTACCCTGAAGATCCTTTTCAGGAGAAAAAAAACTACTATAACACTGACTATAAATACTGAAATTTGGGGTCCCTAATAAGGAAACAGATTAATCATCTAGCTGCTCTTTAGTGGAACTCTCTAGGGGATATATGGAAAAGTGTACTGAGAGTTTTTAGAACCTCACACTTAATTATGTATAGATAGCCAAGGAGTCCTAGAAATTTCCAACACAAAAGACAGAAACAAATAAAAAATAAACCCAGATGAAACAGAGATACTTTAGGAAGCAGAAGAAAACTTCGGGGAAACTAAGTAAATATACTTGAGCTATAAAAAAAGAAATATGTATCAACAAAATAATAAAAGAATACTATGAAAAAGAGACAATTTTGAAAGAGATCTCAGGTCAGGTGCAGTGGTTCAAGCCTGTAATACCAGCACTCTGGGAGGCCAAGGAGGGAAAACTGCTTGAGCCCAGAAGTTGGTGACTAGCCTACATAACAAAGTAAGACCTCACCTCTACAAAAAATAAAAAAAATAGCTTGGTGTAGCGCCAAGTGCCTGTAGTTCCAGCAACTTGGGAGGTTGAGGTGGAAGGACTGCCTGAGCCCAAGGAGGTCAAGGCTGTAGTGAGCTGTGTTGGTGCCACTGCACTCTGGCCTGGGTGTCAGCGTGAGATCCTGAGTTAAATAATAATAATAGAATAAAAATAAAGAGCTCTCAAACTTTTTTTTAAAGTATGGGACTTTTAAAAAAATAATACATTAAAAAAATAAAGTAAAAGAGTTGAAAAAAGAACTAAAACACAGTGACAATATGAGAAAAAAGAAAATTAAATAATAAATCCAAGTCTAACATCTGACTAATAGAAATTCCAGGAAGAACAAAGAAAAGGTGTAAGAAACTACTGAAGAAAGTATTTTAGAACTGAAAGACACGAGTCTCCAAAGTGAAAGCAAAAAATACAAAGAATGAAAAAACCTCGGCTGGGCATGGTAGCTCAGCCTGTAATCCCAGCACTTTGGGAGGCTCAGGCAAGAGGATTGCCTGAGCCTGGGAGTTCGAGATCAACCTGGGCAACTTGGTGAGACCTCATCTCTAAATAAATCACAAAAACTAGCCAGGTGTGATGGCATGCGTCTAGAAGGCTGAGGTGGAAGGATCACTTAAGCCCAGCAGGTCATGCCACTGCACTCCAGCCTGGGTGACGGAGTGAGACTCCAATACACACACATACACACACACACACACAAAGAAAAAACCTTCATTGTTCCAAATGGAAATTATTTCCAACCAATGAATAATTAATGAAGTGTGAAGTTAGGATAAAGTTATTTTCAGATGTAATTATTTTCAAAATAATTACATCTCATGAATCTTTTCTCAGAAAGCTGCTTAAAGACAAGTTTTGCTAAAATGAGGAATAAACTAAGAGAAGATGATATGAAATCTAAGAAACAATAGGATCCAACACAGAATAGAGATGAAGGGAGTTCCCCAATCACTGGTGACCAAGAAGAGACAGCAACTCATTCAGACTTGAGCAAGATAATGGAAGTGCTGCTGGGGAGTCTCCAGTAAGCATTCGTCCAAAAAAAGACTGATTTCATTCTACAGTTTTTAGAAGATGTAGGAAGACTTAGAGTCAGAGAAAAGCAAGTAAAAAAGCAATGATATAATCACTAACTCTAGATAATGAAACCACAGTACTATATACTACTTGGTTCAACAGTGAACACTATCTGTCCATTATCTGAAAACAGTGGAGATTGATTTTACCAAAATATAAATATTTCAAAGTGGAAAAGAAAGTATATAAGAGAGGCAAAATTCTCATCTATCAAAATAAGAAGTAAACATGATATTTATAATTAATTGATAAGAACACCGACTATGATTTAGAAATACTGAGGTAATTACCAGAAAAAAATACCTAAAAGAGTTATTATTACTTTACAGCTAGAGAAGGGGAGATAAAGAATGTGACAGGGTTATCTCCAGGAAATGGGAATTTAGGGTAGAAGGAGCGGGGGTCTAGGCTGCTGCTGTTTTTTGTTATAGGGCTTTACCATTGGACTTTTAAAACCATCACATGGAATGTAAAAGTTAATTTTTAAAAGAAAAGTTTAAAAGTAAAAAACATTTAATCTGAAAAGTGAAAGAAATATTTAAAATCACATTAAGTGTTGCAAAATGACTTCACAGTATACCGAAATTACCAATACTCAAAATTAAAGCATGAATGCAGCAGAACCTAATAGAGCTGGCAGTCAATCTACAAGGTGCCAGAGGATCAACAGCAGCTGCATGTCCAACTGTGCTCCTGTGTTACAACTGTGCTAAGACTAGAGCACCTCTGCCAGCTCACCCCGTCCACATACCTGGGAAGCTTCTCTGAATAGGTCTGCTTGCTGTTTGCATCCTTTGAGAGAGGTACCTTTTCCACACAATAGGGACCTCCGATCCACAACCCCAGTGACATCTTTAAAGGACTGTGCAAGGAACTGGACAGAAGACTAATATAGGTCTATTTCCTTCCAAATGCAGAATTGTTTTATAAGATGGAAAAAAAACCTTTAAAAGTCTAAAAGCCAAGGAACTCACATACCTGTGGGGATGTGAACAAGTCTGACCGCACTATCTGTTGTATTAACATGCTGCCCTCCTGCTCCTTTGGCTCGAAATGTATCTATTCGTAAATCTTTGGGGTCCAGCTTCACATCTACCTAGAACAAATGGCATGGCATAATTCTACACTTCAAGAATCCTTCAATACTAAAATTCTGTTTTATGTTAAGATATGTCATAACTACTAGACTAAAGGAAATAACTTACACCAAAGAAAGAGCCATAAACTCCCTATTCCAAATGGATGCTATTTTTTTAACACTGACTTAGGATGTTATAAGATCACTGAGTTGTGCAATCTTTCAAAAGATTCATCATCCACCATCCCACAGTTGCATGAAATAGAACATACAAAATATATATAAAATACATATGCATATGTACTACATATCGTTGATTCTCATTATTTCAGAATCCCTATTTGCAAATTTGCCCACTCACTAAAATTTATTTGTATCCCCAAATCACTTTCACAGTCTTTCACTGCAGCACTTTCAGTCATTTGCAGACATGCACAGAGCAATGAGAAATCTGAATTCTTCCACATTTACACATTCCCAGTTAAGTAGGACAAAGTGACACTCTGACTTCTTGGTTTCAGCTCTCCCACAGAGATGACCAGAGAATGGAGATTTAGGGGAGAGGGCAGTGCAGCGCAAGAAGCTCTGGCTCTGGGGGACAGCTGGATGGGGTTTGAATTCCAGCTTTGCCACCTGTTAGTGGAGTGGTCTCAGGCAAGTCATAGGACACGTCTATGCCTAATTTTATCTTATGTAAAATAAAGATGTTGGGCATGGTGACTCATGCCTATAATCCCAGCACTCTGGGAGGTGGAGGCGAGAGGATTGCCTGAATTCAGGGGTTCAAGACCAGCCTGGGCAACCTGGGAAAGACCTTGTCCTACAATAAATAAAAAAATTAGCCAGGCATGGTGGTGTGTGTCTATAGTTCCAGCTACTTGGGAGGCTGAGGCAGATGGATCTCCTGAACCCAGTGGGCCAAGGCTGCAGTGGCTGTGAGCACTGCAGCCTGGGTAACAGAGAGAAACTCTGACTCAAAAAATAAAATTAAAGGAAATTAAAATAAAGATAATCTACCAGAATAGGTTATTTTTAGGATATAAAAAAATCTGAAGGGGGAGGGATGAAAAATCACCTATAGGGTACAATGTGCACAGGTAGGGGTGGTGGGTATGCTTAAAGCCCAGAACAAAAACTGTTTGTATTCCCAAGAGCTATTGAAATAAAGAAAAAGATTATAATCTGGGAGGGCATGGTGGTTCATGCCTGCAATTCCAACACTTTGGGAGGTCAAGTCAGGAGGATTGTTTGAGCCCTGGAGTTCAAGACCAGTCTGAACAACATAGAGGACTTCATCTCTACAAAAAAAATTTAAAAATTAGCTGGGCCTGGTGGTGCATGCCTATAGTCTCAGTAATTGGAAGGCGGAGGCAGAAGGATCGCCTGGACCCAGGAAGTTGAGGCTATCATAAGCCGTGATCATGCCACTGCACTCCAGTCTGGGTGACACAGTGAGACCCCAACTAAAAAAAAAAACAAAAAAAACAAAAACGGGGTAGGTAAAATGGGGTGGAAGGAATAAAGACAGAAGTAAGATAACTCTATGGTTTTGATTTTTGAATCAAGTAAACTTTGTATTTTTTATTTGTAGATGTAAATGTTTACATATACAAAAAGTAAAATTAAAGTGGAAAATCAAATCCTAAAATTAAATAAAAACAGAAACAAATGCACCAAAATATTTATCATAATGACAACATAACCACACAGAAAACAGTTATTTCAGATGGTCTTTGTTCATAGTGTTCTAACTATTCATTCTTGGTAGAATATATTCAGAGAACAAAAGTCTTAAACATTGCTGAGTAGTTTATTATTAGTAATGCAGATATTGCAATTTTGAAACTATTCTATATATAATATAATAAAGCAAATAAGTAAACATTAAAGTGGTTATAAAGCAAGATCTTGTTTTGTTCTAAGTGAAAAGATATATAAAAACAAAATTAAAAAAATTGAGGACAGCCAGGCTCGGTGGCTCAGCCTATAATCCTGTGCCTTTGGGAGGCTGAGGTGAGTGGATTGCCTGAGCCCGCGGGTTCGAGACCCGCCTGGGCAGCGAGACCTCATCTCTACAATAAATCAAAAAATCAGCCGGGCGTGGTAGTGCATGCCTGTAGTTCTGGCTACTTGGAAGGCTGAGGCTGAAGGATCGCCGGAGCCCAGCAGGTCGAGGCTGCGGTGGCCGGGAGCGGCCACTGCACTCCAGTCTGGGTGACAGAGTGAGACTCCAACTCAAAAAATAAAAAATAAAATTGAGGACAAAAATCTCTATAATGTTAAATTTGAATTGGTAATAATAATATGAAGTTGTCATTTGAAAAAATATATTTCCAAGCTCTATCCACTGAAGGAGTCTAGAAGTAACAATATTATAGTACTAACGAGTATCCCTGCTACCCAGATCTTGATTTCTGGGTACATTCCCCACTAACATGAACTAGGCTAACTCCCTGGCTGAGGCAGGAGAATATCAAATGCGCTTGGGATATCTAATGGTACCAAAAAGCAAAGACTGGATCATTTCAAAAAGACAAAAGGAGTACCCTACATAGGCTACTCCAGGCCAACTCTGGGACTATATATTAGGCTATCAAAAGGAATAATGACTATAAATAATTGAATGAAAACAAATCCATCAGTCTATAATGAGGTCAACATATGAAACTTGATATATGAGTTTATAAAGAAATCAAATACAAGAGAAAGAAAGCAAGAAATTAGGAAGGGGCTGGGGTTTGGGGAGTGAGAAGGTAGAAGGAAGGCAAGTTCTTTACGGAACAATGCCAGTTAGTAAATGTATACAGAATGTTAGTATTAGAAAATCATGATCTTGCAACCCTAAACTAAATAATTGACTCAGGCATGGATCACCAATGGATGTTAAAACCACAGATAAAAAGCTTGAAAACAGGATATATGTTCCCTAGAGATTGCTTAGTAATTGCAAAGAGAAAAATATATTTTCACAATTAAGGTATTTTTGTGGTCACCATCTTAACTAAGTGCCAAAACTAAGCCACATTAAAAGTAGACAATCTGACATTATGTGCCTTCTGAAAAGATGCAACAAGACCATATCTGTACCTATGAAGTATTTGCACTCAAAATGTGTAACCCAGATGGAGCAGAACATTTAGATATAACCTTCAATATAACACAGGGAATAAAGGAACATGTTAACGAGTACCATGAAGACATGAATAAATAATCAGGAGTCCAGAATGTGGAACATTGTACAATACAAATGGTCTAGATGCTTCAAAAAGCCAATGACATTTTTAAAAAGTTGGGAGACTGTTCCAGACTTAAAGAAATGTAACAATTGCCGGGCTCAGTGACTCAGCCTGTAATCCTGCGCTTTGGGAGGCTGAGGTGAGTGGGTTGCCTGAGCCCGCGGGTTCGAGACCCGCCTGGGCAACTTGGTGAGACCTCATCTCTACAATAAATCAAAAATTAGCTGGGCGTAGTAGCACACGCCTGTAGTTCTAGCTACTTGGAAGGCTGAGGCAGAAGGATCACCTGAGACCAGCAGGTCGAGGCTGTGGTGGCCAGGAGTGGCCATTGCACTCTAGTGTGGACGACGGAGTGAGACTCCAACTCAAACAAAACAAAACAAAAGAAATATAACAACTAATTATGATGTGTGAAATCTAATGGTATCCTGGTTTAAAAAAAATAGTTATACCCAGGCATGGTGGCTTCCTAATTTCCTAATTTTCACTGGGCTCCGGTGATCCCAGCCCAGGCAACTTGGTGAGACCTTGTCCTACAACAAATCAAAAATTAGCTGGGCGCGGTAGTTCTGTCAGAACTACAGGTGCGCACTACCGCGCCCAGCTAATTTTTGATTTGTTGTAGGACAAGGTCTCACCAAGTTGCCTGGGCTGGTCTTGAACCCACAGGCTCAGGCAGTCCACTTGCTTCAGCCTCCCAAAGTGCTGGAATTACAGGCTGAGCCACTGAGCCTGGCCTAATCAACAACATTTTAAAAAGGATTCTAGTTTTGAAAAGAAGTGACTTCTATTTAAAATGAAACAAATCAAAACATCTTGGCCAGGGATGAAAGGGGCAACTTTACCTGGGAAAGAGTTAAAAGTTTTCCATTAGAGACTATACAGTCTGATCTGTAACCAAAAAAAGAACAGATCTTCCTAGAAGCTGAGGCTTCTCAGCATCATACCCATTTACATGGTGTGCATTTTCTGTTCCTCCTGGTGAAGTTACCTCATCTGGTTGAGGAAGGATGATAACTGACATTGTTCCTGTGTGAATACGCTGCATTCTTGATGACAGGCCCACTTCAGGGATTCGCTGAACTCGGTGGATGCCACCTTCATATTTCAAGTGCTTATAGACATTGTCACCAGAAATTCGGGCGGCTGCATGATGTAGTCCACCTAGGGGGAAAAAAAATCCAGAAATATTAATGAATTTTATTTTGAAAGGGATCAGAAGCCTGAATGTCCTCAATTTAAGACCTGAATGTGAGTATAAAGCCTGAGATGAGCACATGAAGTAGGTACAAAACTATATTTTCCCATTGTAAATATATTGATACATACTAGGAAATATACTGAAATGTTATTTATGTTTATCTCTGGGAAATAGAATGACAGTAGTTTTTTATTTCTAAATTTTCTATAATTAACAAGTTTTATTTTTATAGTAAGGAAAAGATATTATTAGAACAAAAAAGAATACTGGGATTTTTTTGCATTGAACTACTACTGTGCAGTCTTAGGCTAATATGGTGTCACATATAAAACAATGCTCAATAATAGAATAATTTCCTAATGTAGAGTAACTCTATAGGACCTCCCATATTTTCAAGAGTTTACTGAAAGTTATCTCTTATCTGTAGAGTGGACAGCTATCACAAAAAAATCTTATGCCTAGCCTAGCTTGTTCCTATCTATCATGTTTTAAAAAAATCTTTTTAATAATATAATAATATATGAAGACAAAAAACACACAACTCAAATATATGGCTTAGTGACTACTACCCAGGTCAAGAAAAAGAACTTTGCTAGTCACCCCATGAACCCTCTCACGTGCCTTTTCCAGTCATCATCCTCTCCCTTCCCCATGAGTAATCATCCTGACTTTTACTCTTTCCTATATTATAATGTTATTACCTAAATGTTTAGCCCTAGACATTAGAGTTCTATCTTGCCCATTGAATTTTTTTATATGTCTTAAGTCTCTTAGTCCACACATTCACCATCCATTTATTTTATTTACTACAAATTATCTGTTGAGGAACTTGAGCTGATGACTGGTATAAATTCCAACAGTCTGGTTTTGCTGACTGTATACTCTTGGTACAGTTCACCCTGTCTGCTGCCCTCCATATAAGCTGCAATTTGGCAGCTGGATCTAGAACCTGGATCAGATACCAGCTTGAGCCCCTCAGCAAGACTACAGGAGTACAGGAGGCATGATATTAGATGTCTCTCTTTTCAGTGGTATTGGCAGCCTTTGATGCTTAATCCATCACGTGTTATAAAATGGTGATAGTCTACTTTTATAATTTCTTCTTCTTTTTTTTTTTTTTTTTTGAGTCAGAGTCTCACTCTGTCACCCAGGCTGGTGTGCAGTGCCAAGCTCACGGCCACTGCAGCCTTGACCTGCTAGGCTCAGGTGATCCTTCTGCCTCAGTCTTCCAAGTAGCTGGAACTACAGGCATGTGCCATCACTCCCAGCTAATTTTTTGGTTTATTGTAGAGATGAGGTCTCAACAAGTTGCCCAGGCTGGTCTCGAATTTGTGGACTCAGGCAGTCCTCTCACCTTGGCCTCCCAAAGTGCTGGGATTATAGGCATGAGCCACCGTGCCCGGCCATTTCTTTCTCACTTGTAATTAAAATACACTTACAAAGAGACACCTGCCCTTGTCTATTATCTGATTATTAAGTGATACAGTTGTATAGGAAAAGCAGGGCAAATGCTTGATTTCCTTTACTAGTTTTTACCAATACCAAGATATGTTTTTGCAATATTCTGAGTGGAGTTATTTAAATCCTCTGAAGATGACCAACAAAATTTTTAGATTATCATTATGAACTCAAGGAATTAAACACATCTAACATGTTTTAATCAATTGCAATTATTATTACTGAAGCTCAACTTGTTGTATCTTTGGCCTACAGATGACTCTTCAGGTTAACTTCTGAGGTCCTTTTACATGCCCCTAACTATGGTATAACAAGATGTTTCAGGATAATGTTGAATATTTCTTGCCCTAGATCTGGAACCAGTCATTTCTCCAAGGAGCCCTGATTCCTTTAAGAGAAAAAATAACATTTCAAGATCACAATTTGGGTGCTAGAGGCATCCACCACTATTGGATTGGCCATTATTTCTATGCCATTTCAATGGACAGAGATAGGAAATACCTCATGAGTTCCCACTGATGTTGGGAGACAATTCTCTATGGGTCTCTTGTGCTTCTGCACAGCTTGCAAAAAACATATAGCCTGCCCTTTTGTTCTAGAACATCTTTTTTTTTTTTTGAGTCGGAGTTTCACTTGGTCGCCCAGACCGAGTTTCACTCGGTTGCCTGCTGGGCTCTGGCGATCCTTCCGCCTCAGCCTTCCGAGTAGCCAGAATTACAGGCGCACGCTACCACGCCCGGCTGATTTTTTTTGATTTATTGTAGAGATGAGGTCTCGCTGCCCAGGCGGGTCTCGAACCCGCGGGCTCAGGCAATCCACTCACCTCAGCCTCCCCAAGGTGCGGGATTACAGGCTGAGCCACCGAGCCCAGCTAGAACATCTTTTTAAGGTTGTTTGTATAGTGAACAGCTTGGAGATAATGTCTCCCTCCAGAGAAAAAGAAAGGTTTGCTCACAGCTTTGGAAAATAGTGTCCCTTTCTAGAGCAATGGGCAGGATGATTACTGCCCATTTAAAAAAGACTCAAGTTCCCTAAGCTCCCTGTTCCTCTCTTGTAATGCAACCCACTGTGTGGGTGGATATCATCTAGTCTTCTTAGTTGTTGCCCTGTGGGATTTAGGGCTCAGGAAACTAGCACAAAAATGCTGATGCTCTGGTTACTGCTACTGCTCTGAGAAATAACTGTCCTTCATCTCTGACCATGAAACTGTGGTAGGCTAATCCATTAGCTTGCAAGTAGAGTACAAATCTTGGACCCTCCCAGTTTTTGGCAATATCTTATTTTATTTTACTTTATACATTACTTTTGACTTTTACTTTATTTGCTTTTTATTTTTACATGACCTTACCTACTTGTTGGGGTCTCTTTGTCACCCAGTCTGGAGTGCAGTGGCAAGATCATGGCTCACCACAGCCTTGACCTCCTGAGCTTAGGTGATCCTTCTGCCTCAGCCTCTTGAGTAGCTGAGACTGCAGGCACATATCACCAAGTATGGCTTATTTTAAAAATGTTTTTGTAGAGATGAGGTCTCACCATGTTGCCCAGACTAGCCTCGAACTCCTGGGCCCAAGCAATCCTCCTTCTTTGGCCTTCCAAAGTGTTGGGATTACAGGTGTGAGCCACGGCACCTGGCATGATACTTATTTACATTCAAGGCTTCAAAATATTTTCTATTACGCTTTTATCTCTTTTCTTCCATACCAAGAATCTTGGCTCTCAAAGACAGAGAGGATATTAGAATTAGATTATCCCATAATTACGCATCTGTTGTATCCTATATTACACATACAACAGTCTCAAAGAACCATGTTAATTCTATAACCAATACAATTCTAAAAACAAAACTTTTTTGCATATGTTCTTCCTATTTTCCCCATTTTTCTTTTTCTTTTCTTTTTTTTTTGAGTAGGAGTCTCACTCTATTGCCTAGGCTTGAGTGCAGTGGCACGCTCATGGCCACCCCAGCGTTGACCTGCTAGGCTCTGATAATCCATCCGCCTCAGCCTTCCAAGTAGCTAGAACTACAGGCGCATACTACCAAGCTTGGGTAATTTTTAAAATTTATTGTAGAGATGAGGTCTTGCCAAGTTGCCTGGGCTGGTCTCGAATGCCCAGGCTTAGGCAATCTACTTGCCTTGGCCTCCCAAAGTGCTGGGATTACAGGCTGAGCCACCGAGCCCGCCCTTGCCCCATTTTTCAAATGGCTGTATTATATCTATACTGTCAGAACATATGGTTCTTGTATAATACATTCTTTCCTTCTCAGCCCTCAGCTAGTTCTGGTTCTACAAGTAACCACATATTTAATGCTCACCTCTACTCCTTATGTTGATACCTATCCTTTTTGTTGTCTGAAGCTTGTTTTCTAGTAGATTCCTCAGAAAGCAATCATGGGAAGAATATTTCCTGATTTTTTACATATTGATAACAGTTTGTCCCTACATACTTACAAGTCAGTTTTGCTAACTATAAAATCCTTAACTTTCTTTCCTTTGGTGATCTCCATCTTTTTCTGGCACAAACTGTTGGTATTGAAAAGCCTGACAAAAATATAATTTTCTTTCCTTTATAATTTTATCAGAATATGTCTTAGTTTTGGTAATTTTAATTGGATATTTTCAGATGTGTTCTTTAAATATGTGGTTTCAAATCTTTTTTTCTATTTCAGAGGAGTTTTCTTGACATATAGATGTTAGTATTTGCCATAGGCAGCCTCAAATGTGGCCCCCCATGACCCTTGTCTCTTGGTATTCACACCCTTATCGTTCCCTCCCAGTTGGCCTATTTGATGAGTAGCATCCAGCAGAGGAGATACTACTGAGATTAAACTATAAAGAACTGTGGCTTCCATCCTGAGAACTGGCTTACTTTCTTGCTTCATTCACTTGGCACAAACAGGTTGCTGTGTTGTGAACACTGCCACGGAGAGGGTTTTTGTGGTGAGAAACTGGTATTTGCCACCTACTACGTGAGTGAGCTTGGAAGCAGACCTTTAAGCCCCAGTCAAGCGTTGAGGTGACGACAGCTCCACCCAACAGCTTGACTACAACCTCATGAGAGACCCTGGGTCAGAATCACTCAGGAAAGCATCTCCCTGACCCCTGATCCTCATAAATTGTGAGACTGAAAAATTGTTTGTGGCTTTCAATCTGCTGAGTTTTGGGTAATTTGTTATACAGCAATAGGTAACAAATATCTGCTCTGACTCATTCTATCATGTAATCAATCTTCTTGCCTCTAATTAATATGTCATTTTTCTTCACTCCTTTTTATCTTTTTTTTTTGAGTTGGAGTCTCACTCTGTCATCCAGACTGGAGGGCAATGGCACGCTCCTGGCCACCGCAGCTTCGACATGCTGGGCTCAGGTGATCCTTCCACCTCAGCCTTCCAAGTAGCTAGAACTACAGGCACGTACTACCAGACCTGGCTAATTTTTTTATTTATTGTAGAGGTGAGGTCTCGCCAAGTTGCCTAGGCGGGTCTCGAACCCGCGGGCTCAGGCAA